TGGGGTACAACATTTTCAGGTTTTCCTACTTGTACCCACCTCTTTCCTAGTTCATTCATTCCTCATTTCTTCACAATTTGGGCTGGTCGGTGGGTGGTGGGGCTGGTGGTGGTGGTCGGGACAAGATGTCGGCTGGGTTGAGTTTCTGGGGCTGTAGATAATCTGAAGTGAGGGTACGAGCTGATGACATGGCCGAGAAAGCCGATGCTTGAACGGGCTAAGGTGCACTTGGAGAGCTTGGCGTAGAGGCGGTGTTGGCGAAGCGTGTCGAGGACGATGCGTAGGTGCTGAGCGTGTTCCTCGAGTGACTTGCTGAAAATGAGGATGTCATCGAGGAACACGATGACAAAGCGGTCGAGGAAGGGCCGAAAAATGTCTTTCATGAGTCCCATGAACATGGCTGGTGCATTGGTGAGGCCGAACGGAAGTACGCGGAACTCGAAGTGGCCGTAGCGGGTTCGAAACGCCGTCTTGTTGATGCCGTCTTCGGCGAGCCGGATCTGGTGGTAACCGGAGCGTAGGTCGAGCTTGCTGAAAATTGTTGCTTCCCCAAGCATGTCGAACAACTCCTCGACACGGGGCAGCGGGTACTTATTCTTGATTGTGATGGCGTTGAGGGCGCGGTAGTCGATGCAAAGGCGCAGGTCACCTTCCTTCTTGCGGGTGAAAAGCACGGGGGCAGCGTATGGTGAGGTGCTTGGGCGGATGAAACCCTTCTCGAGAAGGTCATCGAGTTGACGTCGGAGCTCCAAAAGTTCAGCGGTGCTCATGCGATAGGTTGGGCGCACGGGCGATGTAGAACCTGGAATGAGGTGGATGCTATGGTCAATAGCGCGCTCGGGTGGAAGTTCGGCGGGAAGATCTTCGGGGAAGACGTCGGTGTAGCCTTGGAGTAAATCTGTATAGGTGATGGGAGAGAGTTGGGTGATGGTTCAGATTCAGGAGCAGTGAAGATGACTAGGAGATGATGAGGAGGAGGTGGTGATGTATGGGTGGGGGCTGATGGATTGATAACTTCAGAGGCGGGGCGGATGATGGGACGTCGTGGCTGCTGGGTTGGGTGGGGTGGAGAAGGAGGAGGTGTGTTGATCACTTCGGGGGAGCCGGGTGGTGTTGGCTGCTGCACGGGAGCTATGCGAGGAGGAGGGAGAGGGTGGATATGGGAAGATGGAGATGGGGCAGGTTGGGGTGGATGGGTTGATGAAGCGGAACTGGTTGGGGATGACCATGGTCGGCGAAAGGAGTGGGATGGGAGGTCGTAGTTGCCGACGGTGACAGTTCCGTTGCGCCAATAAATCCGCGGTCCAAACTAGTGCAACCATGGTCGACTGATAACGCCTTCGTACCCGCCGAGGTGCAGTTGCTCGAACGTGACCGTCGCCTCCAAGCTTCCAAACATGCAATGCACAGGGAGGAGAGTAGGTCCGCAGCGCCGCCGAGTACCATCTGCCATGATCACGTCCTGCGGGTTGCTGTTGGGATCTTCGGGGAGAGAAAGTTCCGCAGCAATTGAGGGAGAGAGGAAATTTGCTAAAGCGCCGGTATCGAGCAAAAAGTCAACGTAGCGATTCTTTATTTTTGCGTATAGAATGATGGCGGGGAATGGAGCGTTGGATGTGGTGTAGAGTTCAGAGGTGCCGATGAATAATGGAGTCGGGAGAAGCAGGGCATGTGATGCGCCAGAGGTCTGCCCCACTGCTACTGGCGCTGTCCGTTTCCCGGAGACCTTTCGAAGTTGCGGCGGTTCGGGCAATGTTGCTTGATGTGGCCGACTTTCCCGCACGAGTAGCACGTAAGTGTGGACTGGTTGCGTGCACGCTGTTCCACCACACCGAGCTCCATGGGAGAAGGATTGTTGGTGCGGTAGGTAGGTCTAGCAGTGGTGTGCTGCCCGGTTCGTCCTTGGAATCGCTGGTATGCTGCAAAGTTGATGGTGTCAGAACGCTCGGCGACACGAATCATCTCATCCAACGTCGTAGCGCCGCGGAGTTCGACCTCGGTGCGGATTTTCGGCTTCAGCCCACGCTTGAATTTGTCCATCTGTTCAGCAGCAGGGATGTCAGGGATCTCAAGCACGAGCTCGCGGAAGCGGTTGATGTACTCAGCGACCGAGCGATGTTTGCGCAATTCAGCGAGGTTGTCACATGCGCGCTTGATGGAGTTGACCGGCTCGAAGTTCATTAAAAGCGATGCAGAAAACTCTTCCCAAGTTGAAATCGTAGCATGGCAGCTCTGCCACCAAGTAGCAGCTGCACCCCTCAGCATCATGCCGGCGTGCCGAGCCCACTCCGCCCGGTTGACATGACAAAGGGAGAGGTATTCCTCCACTTGGAAAAGCCACCGTCGCACTGGTAAGTGACGTTTTCCAGGGATGAACGGCTCAGGTTCAGGTGCTTCGGGTCGTGCAGAAACCACAGCAGGTGCTGGCGTCGGCACATGTGTGCCCAAGAGTCCATGTTCCTGGAGTTCGCCGAGGATCCAGTCACGCACCTCGCGTTCAATTTCTCGGCGCATATTCGCCACAAATTCATTCCAGAGTTCCGGCGTCATATCAGACGGTCCGGCCATAGGGTCTAGAATATGGCGGGAGCGTGCAAAATAACTAACCAGCTCTGATTACCAGTGAAACGTTGCTGGCAGGGAAGTAGCAGTCTTAGTAGGCTAGGAAAATGAGGATAGAGTGCTCTCTGGAGTTCTCTGGAAATTGCACTATGACTTCACAAATTTCACAGTACAATTTTATAGAGCACATTCAAATATCGAGTCGCACTCCCAAGTCGCGACTCTCTCTGAATTTCTCAATGGTAACCCAGCCCCTTTGAAATGAACCTGCCGTGAAATTCAGAGAATAATTGCGGTACGGGATTGGACGGCGAGCTTGGTTACGGGGCTGTAATTTCGTCGGTGTTGTTGGCGAAGTCGGCGAGCGGTCGGAACTTCGGTGTTCTGCGTTTCGTGATTTTCGCGCGAGGGTTTGTGTTGGGCTGCGCGTCAGGACCTGGTCGCCCAGCTGCAGGTTGAGGTGTTTGACCAATACGAACAGTTGGTGAGGTGGCGCTTGACTTCCGCCCACCTGCACTGTACTTGGCAGCATTCGGCTGCCACACTGTTACAATAGTTGTGTGTTTGGAGAAAATCCATCCAATCCAGTTGGTTATTGAATGATCTAGTAGGAACTCACGCGAGTACGGTTGAGTGTGAGCTGGAGCTTTACGTACATATTCTAAATCGGTTAGTCACGGTTCGGAGTGAAATAATTGTCACCACATCCTATGATGGGGGGACCGATCATCTCACTCACTCCGTGCAGCTGTGGGTCACTCACATCCACTCTCATAACCCCTCCCACTCACCTCACCACTTCCCACGCATTCGCGCTGCGAGGGCACAAAGACGGCTGGCGTAACATTCAGAATTCAGGTCTACGGAATTAGTTATAACTCCTTTTTTAGCAGGGTGGATCAGGTGGCTGCCACCGCACTAGTGGCCCTGGTAATGTCTTTGGCCTAAGGGAAGCCCCATTTTCATGAATTTCTGACAATGGAGAAGCGTGAGGTGCATGCTACAAGTGTTGAATCATACGACAACCATGTTATCATGAAGAAACCACTTTGGGGTTCCGATTGCACCAAAAGGGACGCACGTCACAACTCACGACTTGCTACCAGTAGTTGTCTGTGATACATACGAAGGGAGGAGGACAACTTCGAAAACTGCAACCTTGACTTGAAGGACCTAGAGTGCGCCGCATCGTTTCTTAGATTCAAGCTACCCAAACAACGACCAGCAAGTCCACACATTCGTTGCCTCCTACTTGGTGAGCATCCCATCAAGAAGCTCTGCCTCATCATCCATGGTGCGCCCAGGTCCATAGTGCCTCCCCCAGCCTCTTGCAGCTTAAGCACAAGTCTGTGATTGACAAGCCCACACATTCGTTGCTTCCTATTTCTTGGATGCCCCATCAAGAAGCTCTAGCTCATCATCAGGAAGATAACCATAAGGTAAAATAATCGCCACAGAGATTTTCCGTTCGACGACTTTCGCATGTGCTGGGCGAAAACATCTGGTGTAACATCCAATCAATGAAAACGACTACACCAGAGCGTTTGATATAAAAAGCTACAAATACAAAGGTTGAGATTGAAGCCTAGTTGCAACACACGTTAGACATGACGGAATCAGCGCAATCTCATTAATATGCGAGTAAGTCAGCGAGCCACCCCATCATCAAGAAGCTCAAGCTCAGCATCCATAGTGCGCCCAGGTCTAGAGAATCTTCCAGCCTCTTGATCAATCTTCAGTAGCCTCGACTCCCTAATCGACGCCTCACCGCCTAAAAATTCCGTTCTAATCGCGCCAAACTGCGCGACAATTTCAGCCATGTGCGGGCGAGAGGAGGCCGGCATGGATGTGCATCGGAGGGCGAGTTCGACCAGTTTCAGTACAAGCGCGTTGGGCACGGAATCCTGATTAGGATCTTTGATGGCTTCGATGTCGCCTGCTTGCACACGTTCTTTGACCTGGGAGATGTGGACAAATGCAGACGGGCAAGCAAGTGTGACAACACGTAGGGGATTTTCCAAAAATGATCGACTGGGTGTGGCCATTTCTTGCATGCTGCTGGATGGAAAGCGAAAGTATGGACAGGTTTAAAGGCATGTATGCAAGAGGGCAACTGCACTTATGTGAAATTGCAAAGAAAAATCGCTCGCATATACATGAAGTGGGTGTAGATGAATAATCTGATTATGCTGCACACACACTTACCCAGTCTTTTATGTTCACTCCGTGCATCACGACAGGCTTGGTGAGCAGGATCTCAAGCATCATCACACCGAAGCTGGAGATGAAGGGCAACGGGTCAAAAAAAAAAAAAAAAAACTGATGAAAGAAGGGGAATTGGAGGAAGCTGAAAATAGAAAACAGCCGACGGTGAAAAGAGTGGAAGGGGTTCAACAGGGTTTCTATAACACGCTTCGCCAGGCTTGGTAAGCATGACCTTAAGCATCATCACACCGAAGCTGTTGAAAAGGGGGGAAGGATTCAACACGTTGGGATTTAGGTGTGCTCTGAGTCTACTCAAAACACACCAGGCTTGGTTAGCAAGATCTCAACCATCATCACGCCGGAGCAGGTCACGAAGGAGGGTGAGTGAAGGAAATGGAAAGTGCGAAGGTGAAAAAAAAAAGAGCAAAAAAAAGAATAGTCAAAGGTGACCACGCTCCATGGCGCACTTACCATGCGCAAAAGAAATAGCAAAGCTTGTCAACTGCAAGTGCCTATAAGGAACCACTGATGTGATTTATGAGAATTGTAAAAAAAACAAATTCCAATATTGTCACTTGTAAGCGCCTAAAATAACAACTAATGGTTTTTTTGTTTTTTTTAAGTGTGTGTGTGTGTGTGTGTGTGTGTGTGTGTGTGTGTTTTCTTTCTTTCTTTCTCTCTCTCTCTCTCTCTCTCTCTCTCTCTCTCTCTCTCTCTCTCTCTCTCTCTCTCTCTCTCTCTCTCTCTCTCTTAAAAAACACGTTCAAAGCTCGTCAACTGCAGCTCCCTGTAAGGAACCATGGATTTGCCCACGCATGTTGGACCTTGGGGGAATGGGGGACGGGGGGCTTGATTCAACCCAACCCACCTGAAAACGTCAGCCATGGGGGTGGCTTTGTTGGTGCGCGAGTAAGCGGGGTCCACATAGCCCGGAGTGCCGACCACTCGGGTGGGATTCACTGTGGTGCCTTCTGTCATGCGCACCAGCCCGAAATCTGATACCTTTGGCTGCAGTGGTTGGGGGGTGGAAGGGGAAGTGAGGGCAGACGAGGGACCACTTAAAGTGCTTAAGAGAGCTGGCTGTATTTTAATTTGACTTTTTGAAAGTACACAATTCATGTACATCTTGCAGTTGCCTAAATGAGCAAAACCACAATAATAAAGGCTGCAACAAATCATAGATTGTTTCTCCCTACCCGCATGCGGGAATATCATCACGTATGGCTCCCCAACCGCACTTTAACGCACTCAACCATCACAACCACCCTCCCATGTACCTGCATGCGGGCGTCGAGCAGCACGTTGGCCAACTTGATGTCTCCAACCCATGCAACACCCTCCCCTCTCCTTCCCCTACACATACTCCACCATACCTGCATGCGGGCATCGAGCAGCACGTTGGCGGGCTTGATGTCTCGATGCACGATGTCAAACTGGTGGAGATACTCCAACCCCCGCGCCACCCCCACCAGCACATCCATGCGCTGCTGCAGTGTCAACGTGCCTTTTTTTGTTCCTGCATGGAAGGAGGATGGTGTGAGTTGTAGCTTAATAAGAAATAACACTTCTGTCTAGGATATCTTTGCTTTGAGATGTTTCATAAGGAAACGACTTGTTTTTGGTGAACACTTCAAAAGAGAGACAATATTGATATTTTGTGTGCAAAACCTTCACTTAGAACAAAAAAAGGTCGAAAATTGAGGTCGTAGCCTCCCAATCTTAACCACATTCATACACTAACTATAGCCAGATCACAACGCGTTCGACATTAGCTCGTATAGATTAGGTTGTAAACTCTAATTGTATACAACATCCATAGGCTAGATTCAAAGGTGTAGCTATCCATCTATTGGGGGTTTGTTGGTGTACCCTCCAACCACATCTCGCTGGTGAAGATTGGTCCTGAAGCTTGGTGCTTGATAGGGACTTGCCAACTCTAGGTCTTTTGTGTCAAAATCTCAGCCATTACGCCACTAGAATAAAAGGGTTTGTTAAGTAGCAGGTGAGTTCCCCCATAGCCCCTCAGGCAAACGTGCCTGTAAGGATCAATAAAGCATCCCCGGTGCTGTATTTTTGACATTTAGTTTCACCAATTCCAACCAGCTGACAGTTATGGTTGCTTGAGTTACAAAAGAAATTATCAATTGACCAACTGAACAGCCAATAGACCAGCTTCCTCTCCACTCTTTTGTTGCTCCTCCATTGTACTATAGTGCCTCTTGGCTCCTTACCCCATGCAACGACCATCTGTCAAACAGACTGCTAACATATAGTGTCTTAAATGCCTCTCGAATGTTAACGTGCACAGGTTTTAGGCTATTTCGAGGTTTGACAAAACCATGACACATGTGCTAGGGTGAACTGTCAAGACGAAGGTTGACGAAGAGCCGGAACATGCAAGCGATTCCTCAATGTTCGAACTTAATTGGCCAATACTAGGGCAAATGTAACGCCCCCTTCAAGAAACTGCTCTCACCTTCACAAAGGTACTTGTAGAGGTCTCCGTTAACACAGACCTGTGAGGCACTGAGCGCAGAGGAGAGGAGTGGAGTGGAGTGGAGTGGAGTGTAGTGGAATGCGGTGGATTACTTATGAGCTGCATCAGCTCTCACCTTCACTGAGGTACTTCTCGAGGTCCCCATTGGGGCAGAACTCGTAAATGACGATTTGCTCATGGTGGTCTGTTGCCCTGTCAATGTCCACACAGTACCCCAGCAGCCGCACCAAGTGCGGATGGCTCTTTGATGCCATCTCCTCCACCTGTGATGGAAGGGGAAATAAAGAAATGAGCGGGAAGAAGAAAAAAGAGGTCAAATGAGCTGTCTCCTCCACTTGCGCAAGATAGGTAAAGAAACAGGAAAGACAGACGAGGCCGATAAATGTGCATGAAATAAATGAGAGCCTCTGATGGTTCTTTGATGCAATCTCCTTCACCTGCACGGGAATCGAGGGGATAAGAATATGCGGGACTCGACTTCGACGAGTTATAAGATTGGAAAAAAAAAAAGGTTATTTACGCTACTTTTTGGTCGAGTTGAGTCACGTAAAAAACACTTGCCCACGCATTGATAACTGTCTGGTGGACCAATTCCTTTCTTTCCCTCCTTTTCCCACACACCTCTCGTTTGATTTCCACTGCTGAGACGTTTCAAAACCTTTTGCCTTGAAGCCCAACGCACCTCTCGCTTGAAGTCATTCGTCAGAATCTTGGCGCGCTTCACAGCCCACACCACGGAGGGATCATCGGGCCACACCCCCCGATACACCTCGCCATACCCGCCCGACCCAATATGATTCGCCTCGGCCCAGTTGTCCGTTGCCTTGGCAACTACACCTAAGGGGTATCGCTGGCACATGAGTGAACTGGTTGGTACAGATTTCTCTCCCTCCTTTGATGCTCTGTTGCCTGTGGGGAGAAAATGAGTGGGCATGGGGTGTGTGTACCAAGGGTACGAGCATAGGGTAGGGAATGGGTGGGCATGGGGCAACCACAGCTAAGGGGTTATCGTTGGCACATGAGCGACCTGGTTGGTACAGATTCCACTCCCCCCTTTGATGTTCCATCGCCTGTCGATGGCTCGTGTGTTGGGAATGGGTGGGCATGGGGGAAGCCAAGCTCACGGTGGTGGGAGAACTTCTGAGAATTCTCAACAGTGACTGTAGTGCTCCGCGTGGGCATGGGCAATGGAAATTCATCGAGAGGCAATGGTATCCATGCTGTGCGTCGGTGTCCGCGTGCATTGAGGTTATTTTTGAGGCGCCTCAAAAAGTATCTGTGCTGTGCGACGGGGTTGGACCTTCGCTTGTAGAGAAGCAGCATGGCAGCAGCGAGAAGACCAGTGGCAAGGAGAGAGAGGCAGTTAAGAAACCTTCCATAGTGGTGGAAAGCTAGAATCACCCCAACATCTACTACACTCCCACATCAAATAACCAAATGACTTTGGAGTCGACTCAAAAGTCACAAAGTGGTAGAAAGCTGAGATAATCCCAGCATCTATTGGACTGGTACATTGCATAACCAAAGCTTCACCTTCTCTGGACCTTCGTTTGTGGAGAAGGCACACGGCAATAGCGAGGAGTGCAGCAGCTAGGACACCTCCCAGCAACAATCCCAACGATAGCTCCCACAGACAGAGCAGAGGAGGGAGGAGGAGGAGAAGGAAGTGCGGGAGGAAGAGGTGAGGGAGGAAGGAAGAGGTGGGGGAGGAAGAGGTGAGGGAAGAAGAGGTGAGGGACCAACAATAGCTCGCACCTGCAGTGGAATTTCGTCTGCAGAAAAAGAAAATGCCGCCGGCAAGCAGAGCAGCAGCTAGGGCACCTCCCAGCGCAATCCCAACGATAGCTCCCACAGGCAAACCAGAAGAGGCAGGAGGCGGAGGAGGAGGAGGTGAGGGAGGAGATGGAGAAGACGGAGCAGGTGCTGTGGAGGGGGCATCAGGAACAGGAGTGCAAGTGGAGCAAAACTCGCTGCACGTCTGGCAGAATTGGGTGGAGCTGGTCTGCTTGACCGTGCAGGATTGCCCGGCTCCTGTGGGGCAGATGAGCCTGCTCCCGTCCAGCACACTGGCGGGACGGGACAGAGAAAGGAGTGTGAAAAAGGAGAGCGAGAGGATGGAGGAAGAGAAGGGAAGAACTGGGTGGAGCTGGTCTGCTTGACTGTGCAGGATTGCCCGGCTCCTGTGGGGCACACAACCCCGCTCCTGTTGAGGACACTGGGGTGAGGGAGATGCATGGGATGGGAGTGAGGGAGTCAATTCTTTAGTCTACTAAAAAATCAGCTCCTGTGCAGCCTGTCCAGCACACTGGGATGAGAGAGATACATGGGAGTGAGGGAGGCGATTTTGTAGTTGACTAAAACACGGCTCCTGTGGGCCACCTTTCAGCTTACAGTCTTTTTCTAGGCGGCTTAAAAAATAGGCTAACAGTGTAGAGACGCGAGTGAAATTCCCAAGGGTGGGCGGAACGATGCCAGATTCTAACCCCCCCTTCCAACCCCCCCATGCCCCCTCCCCCCCACCTTCCCCCTCCTCCACCTTGCAGCTTACAGGGCAGTGAGCTTCACGAGATTCCCAAGGGTGGAAGGAACGACACTGGAGAGAAATTCTTGAGGCGCCTTCAAAAATAGATTCTACACTCCCCCAAACCTTGCAGCTTACAGTGTAGTGAGCTTCATGAGATTCCCAAGGGTGGGAGGAATGATACCGGAGAGATTATTGTGACCAAGGACTCTGCAGGGTGATTGATTGATGTCATATGGATAGGGCAAAGGCGCACACATAGTAATGAAATCACTTTTGAGAATTCTCAAGAGTAATTTGTTCAACGATTGTAACTAAGAACTCTGCAGGGTGGGTGAATGAGTGATGTCGTTAGGGCAAAGGAACACTCATGATGGTATTAGGGAGAATCGACGATGGCAATAGACTAGAGCGAATCAATTATGAGATTAGGGTGATTCTAATATGGTATAATGTGCTGCATAACTACTCCTCAGCACTACTCACTGAATGTCCTTTTTGAGACATCTCAGAAATGATTGGACAAAGAGGGCAGGTAGAGGAATGGCAAGGCAATGCATGCATCATGTGCCGCAGAACTACTCCTCAGCACCACTCAGCACTACTCAGCACTCCTCAGCACTACTCACAGGGTGTCCAGTCTAGTAAGGTTGCCAAGGCTGGTTGGAAGAGAGCCTGATAGCGAGTTGTTGGCCAAGTCACTAACGACGATGGAACAGGAAAGGGGGAGGGTGTAAGAACAGTTTGAATCGATCGAAGCAAGGATCAAGGGCGATGGCAAGTGATTAAGTCGTTTTCTAGAGTTTTCACAAGGGTAGAAGCAGTGAAATGATGAGAAGCAGATGCTTCCGAAGCACCTAATTAAAGCCGAGGGAAATGGGAGCGCCGAGTTATGTGGAGCGGAGCGGTAGGGGCAAATGGGAGGGAGGAGCCACGGGCAGAGCTTTATGGTGGTGAGAAGGAGAGAGACAGAGAGAGACACAGAGAGAGAGACAGAGAGAGGGACAGAGAGAGAGACAGAGGAGATGAAACATTATACTTGGATTAAGGGTATCACCGGATAAAACTGCATGCTTTGTACCCTGCCTGAATCAATACAAAGGACCGTTTGAGAGAGGGGACGAAACATTATACAAACCTAGAGTGACTCTTCACGTTCACATCTGCCCACCTACACACAGGCATCTGTTTTTTTATCTAGGCGTCTCAAAGTACCCACCTATCGGCCAAACGTCAAACGTACATCTTTGTCAGAGACGTGAGGAGGCTTATATTGGAGCAGAAGGATCCGGTTAAGCCCTGATCGTGGGGGAGACTAAAGGCGGTGGAGGCAACCGAGGGGGGAGAATAAGGAAAGAAGGGGGCTCAGCCTTGATTTACCGTCCTTGCAACAAGAAACAGTCAAAAGGCACATGAAAGACACACCAATCAGCCATTTTGCGTTCTGAAACGTTTTTAAAACACAAAAGGCTGAGCCTCTGTGCATCGCAAGGGTGGTTTCTTACCTCTGTGCGTCGCAAGGGTGGTTTCTTACCTCTGTGCGTCGCAAGGGTGGTTTCTTACCTCTGTGCGTCGCAAGGGTGGTTTCTTACCTCTGTGCGTCGCAAGGGTGGTTTCTTACCTCTGTGCGTCGCAAGGGTGGTTTCTTACCTCTGTGCGTCGCAAGGGTGGTTTCTTACCTCTATGCATCGCAAGGGTGGTTTCTTACCTCTGTGCGTCACAAGGGTGGTTTCTTACCTGTGTGCGTCGCAAGGGTGGTTTCTTACCTCTATGCATCGCAAGGGTGGTTTCTTACCTCTGTGCGTCGCAAGGGTGGTTTCTTACCTCTGTGCGTCGCAAGGGTGGTTTCTTACCTCTGTGCGTCGCAAGGGTGGTTTCTTACCTCTGTGCGTCGCAAGGGTGGTTTCTTACCTCTATGCATCGCAAGGGTGGTTTCTTACCTCTGTGCGTCGCAAGGGTGGTTTCTTACCTCTATGCATCGCAAGGGTGGTTTCTTACCTCTGTGCGTCGCAAGGGTGGTTTCTTACCTCTGTGCGTCGCAAGGGTGGTTTCTTACCTCTGTGCGTCGCAAGGGTGGTTTCTTACCTCTGTGCGTCGCAAGGGTGGTTTCTTACCTCTATGCATCGCAAGGGTGGTTTCTTACCTCTGTGCGTCGCAAGGGTGGCTTCTTACCTCTGTGCGTCGCAAGGGTGGTTTCTTACCTCTGTGCGTCGCAAGGGTGGTTTCTTACCTCTGTGCGTCGCAAGGGTGGTTTCTTACCTCTATGCATCGCAAGGGTGGTTTCTTACCTCTGTGCGTCGCAAGGGTGGTTTCTTACCTCTATGCGTCGCAAGGGTGGTTTCTTACCTCTGTGCGTCGCAAGGGTGGTTTCTTACCTCTGTGCGTCGCAAGGGTGGTTTCTTACCTCTGTGCGTCGCAAGGGTGGTTTCTTACCTCTGTGCGTCGCAAGGGTGGTTTCTTACCTCTATGCATCGCAAGGGTGGTTTCTTACCTCTGTGCGTCGCAAGGGTGGTTTCTTACCTCTGTGCGTCGCAAGGGTGGTTTCTTACCTCTGTGCGTCGCAAGGGTGGTTTCTTACCTCTGTGCGTCGCAAGGGTGGTTTCTTACCTCTATGCATCGCAAGGGTGGTTTCTTACCTCTGTGCGTCGCAAGGGTGGTTTCTTACCTCTGTGCGTCGCAAGGGTGGTTTCTTACCTCTGTGCGTCGCAAGGGTGGTTTCTTACCTCTGTGCGTCGCAAGGGTGGTTTCTTACCTCTATGCATCGCAAGGGTGGTTTCTTACCTCTGTGCGTCGCAAGGGTGGTTTCTTACCTCTATGCATCGCAAGGGTGGTTTCTTACCTCTGTGCGTCGCAAGGGTGGTTTCTTACCTCTGTGTGTCGCAAGGGTGGTTTCTCACCTCTGTGCGTCGCAAGGGTGGTTTATTACCTCTGTGCGTCGCAAGGGTGGTTTCTTACCTCTGTGCGTCGCAAGGGTGGTTTCTTACCTCTATGCATCGCAAGGGTGGTTTCTTACCTCTGTGCGTCGCAAGGGTGGTTTCTTACCTCTGTGCGTCGCAAGGGTGGTTTCTTACCTTTGTGCGTCGCAAGGGTGGTTTCTTACCTCTATGCATCGCAAGGGTGGTTTCTTACCTCTGTGCGTCGCAAGGGTGGTTTCTTACCTCTGTGCGTCGCAAGGGTGGTTTCTTACCTCTGTGCGTCGCAAGGGTGGTTTCTTACCTCTGTGCGTCGCAAGGGTGGTTTCTTACCTCTGTGCGTCGCAAGGGTGGTTTCTTACCTCTGTGCGTCGCAAGGGTGGTTTCTTACCTCTATGCATCGCAAGGGTGGTTTCTTACCTCTGTGCGTCGCAAGGGTGGTTTCTTACCTCTGTGCGTCGCAAGGGTGGTTTCTTACCTCTGTGCGTCGCAAGGGTGGTTTCTTACCTCTGTGCGTCGCAAGGGTGGTTTCTTACCTCTGTGCGTCGCAAGGGTGGTTTCTTACCTCTATGCATCGCAAGGGTGGTTTCTTACCTCTGTGCGTCGCAAGGGTGGTTTCTTACCTCTGTGCGTCGCAAGGGTGGTTTCTTACCTCTGTGCGTCGCAAGGGTGGTTTCTTACCTCTATGCATCGCAAGGGTGGTTTCTTACCTCTGTGCGTCGCAAGGGTGGTTTCTTACCTCTGTGCGTCGCAAGGGTGGTTTCTTACCTCTGTGCGTCGCAAGGGTGGTTTCTTACCTCTGTGCGTCGCAAGGGTGGTTTCTTACCTCTATGCATCGCAAGGGTGGTTTCTTACCTCTGTGCGTCGCAAGGGTGGTTTCTTACCTCTGTGCGTCGCAAGGGTGGTTTCTTACCTCTGTGCGTCGCAAGGGTGGTTTCTTACCTCTGTGCGTCGCAAGGGTGGTTTCTTACCTCTATGCATCGCAAGGGTGGTTTCTTACCTCTGTGCGTCGCAAGGGTGGTTTCTTACCTCTATGCATCGCAAGGGTGGTTTCTTACCTCTGTGCGTCGCAAGGGTGGTTTCTTACCTCTGTGCGTCGCAAGGGTGGTTTCTTACCTCTATGCATCGCAAGGGTGGTTTCTTACCTCTGTGCGTCGCAAGGGTGGTTTCTTACCTCTATGCATCGCAAGGGTGGTTTCTTACCTCTGTGCGTCGCAAGGGTGGTTTCTTACCTCTGTGCGTCGCAAGGGTGGTTTCTTACCTCTGTGCGTCGCAAGGGTGGTTTCTTACCTCTGTGCGTCGCAAGGGTGGTTTCTTACCTCTATGCATCGCAAGGGTGGTTTCTTACCTCTGTGCGTCGCAAGGGTGGTTTCTTACCTCTGTGCGTCGCAAGGGTGGTTTCTTACCTCTGTGCGTCGCAAGGGTGGTTTCTTACCTCTGTGCGTTGCAAGGGTGGTTTCTTACCTCTATGCATCGCAAGGGTGGTTTCTTACCTCTGTGCGTCGCAAGGGTGGTTTCTTACCTCTGTGCGTCGCAAGGGTGGTTTCTTACCTCTGTGCGTTGCAAGGGTGGTTTCTTACCTCTGTGCGTCGCAAGGGTGGTTTCTTACCTCTGTGCGTCGCAAGGGTGGTTTCTTACCTCTGTGCGTCGCAAGGGTGGTTTCTTACCTCTGTGCGTCGCAAGGGTGGTTTCTTACCTCTGTGCGTCGCAAGGGTGGTTTCTTACCTCTGTGCGTCGCAAGGGTGGTTTCTTACCTCTGTGCGTCGCAAGGGTGGTTTCTTACCTCTGTGCGTCGCAAGGGTGGTTTCTTACCTCTGTGCGTCGCAAGGGTGGTTTCTTACCTCTGTGCGTCGCAAGGGTGGTTTCTTACCTCTGTGCGTCGCAAGGGTGGTTTCTTACCTCTGTGCGTCGCAAGGGTGGTTTCTTACCTCTATGCATCGCAAGGGTGGTTTCTTACCTCTGTGCGTCGCAAGGGTGGTTTCTTACCTCTGTGCGTCGCAAGGGTGGTTTCTTACCTCTGTGCGTCGCAAGGGTGGTTTCTTACCTCTGTGCGTCGCAAGGGTGGTTTCTTACCTCTATGCATCGCAAGGGTGGTTTCTTACCTCTGTGCGTCGCAAGGGTGGTTTCTTACCTCTATGCATCGCAAGGGTGGTTTCTTACCTCTGTGCGTCGCAAGGGTGGTTTCTTACCTCTGTGCGTCGCAAGGGTGGTTTCTTACCTCTATGCATCGCAAGGGTGGTTTCTTACCTCTGTGCGTCGCAAGGGTGGTTTCTTACCTCTATGCATCGCAAGGGTGGTTTCTTACCTCTGTGCGTCGCAAGGGTGGTTTCTTACCTCTGTGCGTCGCAAGGGTGGTTTCTTACCTCTGTGCGTCGCAAGGGTGGTTTCTTACCTCTGTGCGTCGCAAGGGTGGTTTCTTACCTCTATGCATCGCAAGGGTGGTTTCTTACCTCTGTGCGTCGCAAGGGTGGTTTCTTACCTCTGTGCGTCGCAAGGGTGGTTTCTTACCTCTGTGCGTCGCAAGGGTGGTTTCTTACCTCTGTGCGTTGCAAGGGTGGTTTCTTACCTCTATGCATCGCAAGGGTGGTTTCTTACCTCTGTGCGTCGCAAGGGTGGTTTCTTACCTCTGTGCGTCGCAAGGGTGGTTTCTTACCTCTGTGCGTCGCAAGGGTGGTTTCTTACCTCTGTGCGTCGCAAGGGTGGTTTCTTACCTCTCTGCATCGCAAGGGTGGTTTCTTACCTCTCTGCGTCGCAAGGGTGGTTTCTTACCTCTATGCATCGCAAGGGTGGTTTCTTACCTCTGTGCGTCGCAAGGGTGGTTTCTTACCTCTGTGCGTCGCAAGGGTGGTTTCTTACCTCTGTGCGTCGCAAGGGTGGTTTCTTACCTCTGTGCGTCGCAAGGGTGGTTTCTTACCTCTGTGCGTCGCAAGGGTGGTTTCTTACCTCTGTGCGTCGCAAGGGTGGTTTCTTACCTCTATGCATCGCAAGGGTGGTTTCTTACCTCTGTGCGTCGCAAGGGTGGTTTCTTACCTCTGTGCGTCGCACGGGTGGTTTCTTACCTCTGTGCGTCGCAAGGGTGGTTTCTTACCTCTGTGCGTCGCAAGGGTGGTTTCTTACCTCTATGCATCGCAAGGGTGGTTTCTTACCTCTGTGCGTCGCAAGGGTGGTTTCTTACCTCTGTGCGTCGCAAGGGTGGTTTCTTACCTCTGTGCGTCGCAAGGGTGGTTTCTTACCTCTGTGCGTCGCAAGGGTGGTTTCTTACCTCTGTGCGTCGCAAGGGTGGTTTCTTACCTCTGTGCGTCGCAAGGGTGGTTTCTTACCTCTGTGCGTCGCAAGGGTGGTTTCTTACCTCTGTGCGTCGCAAGGGTGGTTTCTTACCTCTGTGCGTCGCAAGGGTGGTTTCTTACCTCTGTGCGTCGCAAGGGTGGTTTCTTACCTCTGTGCGTCGCAAGGGTGGTTTCTTACCTCTGTGCGTCGCAAGGGTGGTTTCTTACCTCTGTGCGTCGCAAGGGTGGTTTCTTACCTCTGTGCGTCGCAAGGGTGGTTTCTTACCTCTGTGCGTCGCAAGGGTGGTTTCTTACCTCTGTGCGTCGCAAGGGTGGTTTCTTACCTCTGTGCGTCGCAAGGGTGGTTTCTTACCTCTGTGCGTCGCAAGGGTGGTTTCTTACCTCTGTGCGTCGCAAGGGTGGTTTCTTACCTCTGTGCATCGCAAGGGTGGTTTCTTACCTCTGTGCGTCGCAAGGGTGGTTTCTTACCTCGGTGCGTCGCAAGGGTGGTTTCTTACCTCTGTGCGTCGCAAGGGTGGTTTCTTACCTCTGTGCGTTGCAAGGGTGGTTTCTTACCTCTGTGCGTCGCAAGGGTGGTTTCTTACCTCTGTGCGTCGCAAGGGTGGTTTCTTACCTCTGTGCGTCGCAAGGGTGGTTTCTTACCTCTGTGCGTCGCAAGGGTGGTTTCTTACCTCTGTGCGTCGCAAGGGTGGTTTCTTACCTCTGTGCGTCGCAAGGGTGGTTTCTTACCTCTGTGCGTCGCAAGGGTGGTTTCTTACCTCTGTGCGTCGCAAGGGTGGTTTCTTACCTCTGTGCGTCGCAAGGGTGGTTTCTTACCTCTGTGCGTCGCAAGGGTGGTTTCTTACCTCTGTGCGTCGCAAGGGTGGTTTCTTACCTCTGTGCGTCGCAAGGGTGGTTTCTTACCTCTGTGCGTCGCAAGGGTGGTTTCTTACCTCTGTGCGTCGCAAGGGTGGTTTCTTACCTCTGTGCGTCGCAAGGGTGGTTTCTTACCTCTGTGCGTCGCAAGGGTGGTTTCTTACCTCTGTGCGTCGCAAGGGTGGTTTCTTACCTCTGTGCGTCGCAAGGGTGGTTTCTTACCTCTATGCATCGCAAGGGTGGTTTCTTACCTCTGTGCATCGCAAGGGTGGTTTCTTACCTCTGTGCGTCGCAAGGGTGGTTTCTTACCTCTGTGCGTCGCAAGGGTGGTTTCTTACCTCTGTGCGTCGCAAGGGTGGTTTCTTACCTCTGTGCGTCGCAAGGGTGGTTTCTTACCTCTGTGCGTCGCAAGGGTGGTTTCTTACCTCTGTGCGTCGCAAGGGTGGTTTCTTACCTCTGTGCATCGCAAGGGTGGTTTCTTACCTCTGTGCATCGCAAGGGTGGTTTCTTACCTCTGTGCATCGCAAGGGTGGTTTCTTACCTCTGTGCATCGCAAGGGTGGTTTCTTACCTCTGTGCATCGCAAGGGTGGTTTCTTACCTCTGTGCGTCGCAAGGGTGGTTTCTTACCTCTGTGCGTCGCAAGGGTGGTTTCTTACCTCTGTGCGTCGCAAGGGTGGTTTCTTACCTCTGTGCGTCGCAAGGGTGGTTTCTTACCTCTGTGCGTCGCAAGGGTGGTTTCTTACCTCTGTGCGTCGCAAGGGTGGTTTCTTACCTCTGTGCGTCGCAAGGGTGGTTTCTTACCTCTGTGCGTCGCAAGGGTGGTTTCTTACCTCTGTGCGTCGCAAGGGTGGTTTCTTACCTCTATGCATCGCAAGGGTGGTTTCTTACCTCTGTGCGTCGCAAGGGTGGTTTCTTACCTCTGTGCGTCGCAAGGGTGGTTTCTTACCTCTGTGCGTCGCAAGGGTGGTTTCTTACCTCTGTGCGTCGCAAGGGTGGTTTCTTACCTCTGTGCGTCGCAAGGGTGGTTTCTTACCTCTGTGCGTCGCAAGGGTGGTTTCTTACCTCTGTGCGTCGCAAGGGTGGTTTCTTACCTCTGTGCGTCGCAAGGGTGGTTTCTTACCTCTGTGCGTCGCAAGGGTGGTTTCTTACCTCTGTGCGTCGCAAGGGTGGTTTCTTACCTCTATGCATCGCAAGGGTGGTTTCTTACCTCTGTGCGTCGCAAGGGTGGTTTCTTACCTCTGTGCGTCGCAAGGGTGGTTTCTTACCTCTGTGCGTCGCAAGGGTGGTTTCTTACCTCTGTGCGTCGCAAGGGTGGTTTCTTACCTCTGTGCGTCGCAAGGGTGGTTTCTTACCTCTGTGCGTCGCAAGGGTGGTTTCTTACCTCTGTGCGTCGCAAGGGTGGTGTCAAAAACCACCTGTGTGCTTTGCAAGGAAATGTATGCATACCCGTCAATATCAGATCATGCCATGCCACGTCATGCCATTCCATGGCATGCATACCCTGCATACCCTGCCTTGCGACACTCACATGCCATTAATGGTGCAATCACGGTCGCACATGAGCTATGTTGCATTGACATCATGCCATGCGTCCTCACATGTCGTTGGCACAGTGGTACACTCATATCACATGCCATGCCCTTTCCAATGTGTTGATCTACTTGTCCATGCCATGCCATGCCATGCCATGTCGCACTCACATGCCGTTGACGGCGCCAAAAGGGTCGCATGTGATCCACGAGTCCATGCTGCATGGCATGCCAGGATAGGATACCACAAGCCATCCATCGGGTGGGGCATGCAATGCCATTGCACTGCCATGCAAGACGCGCATACCGTTGTGGACACAGCAGCACACCCACTCACATGCCGTTGACGGCGCCAAAAGGGTCGCATGTGATCCATGACTCCATGCTGCATGGCATGCCAGGATACCACATGCCATTAGGCACACCCATTTCTCTGCCACATGCCTCCAGAATTGCGCCTTGTTCAGCTGTCACATTGAACGATGTACCACCTCCCCCCGGTCCTCCGCCTGCCCCCCCTCCTCCGGGCGCTCCCCCTTGCGCTGGCGCTCCTCCGCCAGGCGCCGGCGCAGTGGGTGCAACGGGTGGCGCAACGGGCGGCGCAACGGATGGCGCAACGGGTGGCGCAACGGGTGGCGCAGCGGGCGGCGCAGCGGGCGGCGCAACGGGTGGCGCAACGGGCGGTGCAACGGGTGGTGCAACGGCAATGGGTGCGGGTGGTGCAACGGCAATGGGTGCGGGTGGTGCAACGGCAATGGGTGCGGGTGGTGCAACGGCAATGGGTGCGGGTGGTGCAACGGCAATGGGTGCGGGTGGTGCAACGGCACTGGGTGCGGGTGGTGCAACGGCACTGGGTGCGGGTGGTGCAACGGGTGGTGCAACGGCAATGGGTGCGGGCGGTGCAATGGGTGCAATAGGTGCGGGTGGTGCAACGGGTGGTGCAACAGGTGGTGCAACGGGCACGTTCCCCAGAGATACTTTCACCGCTTGTAGGTACCGCGCTTTCCTTGGAACAATGCTTCCATTTCCAAGTGCTCGTTTCTTTGGAATGTTTCCGTTTCCAGAGGCCTGTCCGGCAAACAGACTACTAGTGAGCAGAAGCCACGCGCAGACAACGAGAGCGAGAGGCAGACGAGGAGTTAAATGGAGATTTAGAGTCCCGCGGCGATGAGTTATTAGTAGCGGGACTAATGGCGACTCGCCCGCCTCGGAGGGTGCGGGCAGCCGCGAAACCAGGACTTGCGCCCGCCGCGAAACCAGGACTGGCGCTGGAACCATCATCAGATCTTGGAACTTGCACTTGGAGAAGAAACACCGGCGTTCATGGCGGCCCGCCATTTACTCGCAAAGGGAGCGGTTGTAAGCAAGAGCAGGGGGGATAAGCCGTGCCAAGTCACGGAGCTAGTGGTAAGCAGTCTTGTCAGGACTCAGTGACATGGCGACCCAGTGACGTGGCGTGCGACAGAAATCCGTCGCGCTTCAGCCTGAAGAGGTTTGGACGACGCGCGGCGTGATGAATCTTGAGAGAAGCCGAATCTCGAAAACAAAATAAACTCGAGACGTCAATGCTGGACACACGGTAACGTCCGTGGCGCTCTTAATGGCGGCTTTGAAGCGTCTCTCAGAGAAGGTGATTAACGATAACTCATTACCCTAATTTGTTTCCAATTAAATCGAACTGTACACATAGTACGCGTGAGAAACGGAACTGCGTCAAGTTAAGAGCGGCCAAAAAAACTGTCAGTCAGCGTTGGCGATTCGGACGAAGGATGAAAAACAAAATCCCTTGAGCTGCTTCTCGAACAACGAACCGCACGGGGTGCGCAAAAACGAGAGAATCTGTCCAGCTCACTGATAATCTCGTTTTTGGACACAGATCCCAGGTGAGCGCAAAAACGAGATTATCCGTCCTGCGTGAACTCACTGATAAGAAATCTAGGGTTACACCGAGGCATTCCGTTCCAAACGGAAGGAAGGCTGACGATGAGAGCATGACACTCTTGAGAGCGACGATGTGGAAGATGAGGAGGCATTGCTTCACAGCAACAGGCAGGAATAGAGTACTCCCAGAGAAAGGCTTCTTCCTGACTGTCACTGTCTGACTGAAACCAGTGACTCTTTCTGGTTTGCTGCCGCCGATGTCCAGAAGTAGGACGCGGTCAAAGTGACTTTTCGGAGGATCGTGAGAGAATGTCGATTTTCACGATCGCTTTGGGGAGTTGATCGGTGAAACGATGCACACCCGGCGTTGCAACGATCGGAAAAAACTGTTGAGCCTTGTGTTCAATTCGCCGGGATCACTTTGGCGCGGAGAATTACCCGCTTTACAACAATTTCGTACACGCTCGAGTGTGAATTTCGCACTTCACATGGAAACCTGGTCGGCGAAAGGATAGCCTTGTGAAATGTGAAAATTGTGCGACTCATTTCACCCACTTAGCGAAATACTTTCACGTCGCAAGCACTTGGATCAGTCATCACTGTTATGTTTGGTTCGTCGGCATTTGCTTCCCAGCGGACGATCAGTCGTCCTGTCTGAATGTTTGTGTATTTTGTCTAAAATTATCACTGTAGCTGAGGTTACTTTTCTGGAACCAGGGTAACCGTTTCACACATTGATCGCGACAGACGATCGATCGTCTACTTCTACCGCGTCCTCAGGGGGAGCTCTGCTGGGCATCAGGTTACCAGGATTTGTCGCAATCACGTGCGGAAATTTTTTAGCATTCATCGCGCAAGGCGATTGAAGCTGCGACTTTGTCGTCAGTCTGAAATGCATCGCCCTAAATGGGATGGTTGGGTGGCGTAACACTGTAACTTTGTGTTGCAGTGGGCCTTGACATGTCGCAAGCGAGCCTCGCTGATTGGCCAAATCTGAAGCGTTCCAGCTGGAAAACCATGGCTGGCATGGCACTTGACGAACTGCTCACGTAATATTGCCAGTTTCCGTTAGAACAACAATGCCCGAATCTCCGTGCAACAAAGATGAGTGGAGCACAAATCACACAACCTCCGCCACACAATTATATAACACCAGCCACGGGCCATGGAATTCGCCAGTCATGATTACATGACCCATTCGTCCCTCTCTTGTTGCTGTTGCAGCTTACCAAATTGCGTCACAACACGAGCCGGCAGGATTTCGGGTCCAGGGTGTACACGTGAAAAATGCTAAGGCTACAAATGCAGCACATGATAAAGAGAGAAAATTATGCTCAAGCAGCAGTTAGCTTTTGTGGACTAAGGATTCCTCAAGATGCAAGGCCAAAATACCTCAACATACAACCTACCATTCTGGCTGAAGGCATCAACATCACGAACAGTGGATGGAAAGAGAAAGTCCGTTAGGTGTAGAAAACAAGCCACGCTTTGATATGGGCAAAAGTGTCGAGATGTCATAATTAAGGAGCAACCTAGGCTAGGAGAAACCTTAGCTTAGGAGCATGCAGAAAGTTAAGAGAATAGGGGGGTTTCATTAATGGCGAGTACAAGACATTTCAAGGGAATGTGGGAAGGGAGGTACACCACCGACATAGAAATACTACAGTGATGCTACACTAACTAGGTATGCATGCAGTTACACAATAATGTATGATTTTAACACGAGAGGGCTGACACACGGACCATACAATAAATGTAAATTTTTGAAAGTGAAACACTTTCCAAATTTGTATATTGTGAATGTTACGAATAGTAATACTTGATATTACTATGCACTCCTCACCGTAGCAAAGCACGCGCAATATCGTGTCAAATGTTGTAGCCTGTAGTAAGGTTTGTCTTAGGGGGTACAGAAGTTAGGGTTTGTTATATGTACCCCAACCAACATCAATGGAACCATTCATTCCTCATTCTGACATGGTATCAGCTAGGTTAGGATCCTGTGGGATCCCGTTCCTCCGTTCTCCGTTCGTACCTCCCGAGCCTGATCCTACCTCTCGTTCGTACCAGTTCCGTTGTTACCGCGCCTAGTACCGAGCCTAGCGCCCTTTTCCCCCCGTCGCTTAGCGCCCTTTCTCCCCGTTACCTAGCGCCCTTCCCCCCCCCCCCCGTCGCGTCGCGCCCTTTCCCCCCGTCGCGTCGCGCCCTTTCCCCCCGTCGCGTCGAGCCCTTTCCCCCCGTCGCGTCGCGCCCGTTCCCCCCGTCGCGTCGTGCCCGCCCGTTCCCCCCCGTCGCGTCGTGCCCGCCCGTTCCCCCCCGTCGCGTCGCCCTGTCCCGTCGCGTCGCCCTGCCCCGTCGCGTCGCCCTGCCCCGTCCCGTCGCCCTGTCCCGTCCCATCGCCCTGCCCCGTCGCGTCGCCCTGCCCCGTCGCGTCGCTCCCGCCCTTTCCCCCGTCCCGTCGCCCTGCCCTACGCCCTGGCCCGTCGCCTTACTCTAAGCCCTGGCCCGTCACCCTACCCTAAGCCCTGGCCCGTCGCCCTTCCCTACGCCCTGGCCCGTCGCCCTTCCCTACGCCCTGGCCCGTCGCCCTACCCTAAGCCCTGGCCCGTCGCCCTACCCTACGCCCTGGCCTGTTGCCCTACCCTAAGCCCTGGCCCGTCGCCTACCCTACGCCCTGGCCTGTTGCCCTACCCTACGCCCTGGCCCGTCGCCCTAGCCCGCTCTTCCGCTGCGACTGAGTCCTCTTCCCCCCGGTTGTTACTCGCCTGTTCGTTCGCGTTAGTTCTCACTATGGCGACTCCGCGAGTTCTTCGTTTCGACGCTGACGGTAGACCCCTTGACTTTTCCGTCTGGCTTCTTCGCGCTCGCCGTTTGTTAGAGAGTCAGGTCCAAGGGGGCGAGACCCTCTGGTCGCACGCTACCGGTGACCTCCCCGAGCCCCCCGAGCCTACAGCTTTAGGCCCTGCCCCTGACGACGCTGCAACGGCTCGCTTTGCCCGTCAGCGCGCTGACCGGACGGCTTGGACGTCGCGTGACGCTGCGGCCTGCATCGCACTCAGCAGCCTCCTCCCTGAGTCCGAGGAGGTCCACTTTACTCAGGTTCGCACCGCTGCTGCGTACCTCACTGCGATTAAGGCCCGCTACTCTACTCCCGCTACTGTCTCTCTTGGCCGTCTTTTCCTCCCGTTCCTGTTTCCTGATCTCGCCTCGTTTGAGCGCTCTGCTGACTTGATCGCTCACCTCCGCTCGCTCGACGCTAGTTACCGCGCTGCTTGCACTGAGGCACAGCTTGCACTGCTTCCTCCCCCCATGGCGATTACTGTCTATTTCATCGCCACTAGCCTCCCTGACCGCCTTGCCTCCGTTCGTGACGCGCTTCTGCTGAAGCACCCTAGTGAGCTGACTATCGAGGTCCTTGAGTCTGCACTCAAGGACGTCGAGAGCAACCTTCGTTCGGTAGCTGCCGCCTCTGGTACTGTGTCCCCCCCACTCTTCCACGGGTGCACAGTCCCGCAGTTACCCACCTTCACTGCCTCTCTTGCCACTGCCGCTACTGACGCGACTGCGGCTGCTGTTACGACTGCGTCGCGGTCCCGCGGCAGGGGGGGCAAGAAAGGTGGTTCTGGTGGAGGTGGAGGCGGAGGTAGCGGAGGTAGTGGGGGTGCTGTTGCGACTGGCGGTGGTGGGAGTGCAGCGTCTGGAGAGACCCCTCGTGCAGCGGCTGGTGACTCCACTGCACCTGCTGGTGGCGGCGACCCCCGAGCTCGTCAGTCGCCTCCTGTGCTGCCGGCCCCGCTAGGTGGAGCAGCGGCGTGGTACCAGGCTCAGCGTCAGCAGCACCTTCAGCAGCAGCAGCAGCCCCTTTCCTCCCAGCAGCCTCAGCAGCAGCAGCGTTAGCAGCTGGCTCTGGGGTCGGGGCTGGGTCAGCCCCAGCGCGGTGCTGCTTACCCTCCCTGCCCCTACCAGGTTCTGACAGGTCCTCGTCGGGGCCACCCTTGTGGCCGCTTTCACCCCCCTGGTCAGTGCTTTGCTCAGCTCACTGACACGGTCCGGTTGGCCTACGGGGTTGGCGGTCCTGCTCCTGACTGGCTTCCTCTGGTTCAGCGCTACGGCTCCGCTCTGTGGGGCATGTCTGCTGAGCAGTTAGTTGATCTGATTAGTGCTCCTCATGCTATGTATGCTGTTGTTGACTCTAGTGTTTCTGACTCTGTTTACTCTGGTGTTGTTAGCTTAGGTGCTAGTCTTGCTCAGTTGCCTGTTGC